GAGCTCTATTTGTGCACCAGTTTCTCATCTGGTTGTCGCCTGTCCCTAATAAAAAAAAACTCTGACACACACACACACACACACACACACACACACACACACACACACACACACACACCACACACACACACACACACACACACACACACACACCACACACACACACACACACACACACACACACACACGCACACACACACACACACACACACACACACCACACACGTTGCCAGAGTAGTCCAAATGACATCAGTTGGATCAATCACGTAGAGGGGGCATTTGTTGGAAGCAGAAAAGCCTGCATTTGCTCCTGAGCTGCAGATAAAGAAACATTGATTTGCCCCTCTCAGCACAACACTACCTTCCCAGACTCACTCACGTTAAAATAGACTGCGACGAACTAGAAAGCAAATAACGAAAGAAGAATTTGTCACTAAGCGAGAAGCGCCTGTGAGAAGCGTGTGCTCTCACTGCGGCATCCACTGTGTGGGCTCCCCAGGGTGCTGGTGACTTTCTGGGGCACTCTTCTTGTGTAAATACAAGCACCTCCACACCGTCATCCTGCCTCTGAGCAACAGGGGTATCTCTTTGTGCAAGATATGAGAGTCATGTGAAGGTGTAAGTGAGACAGAAAACCCTTTAATGTGGAAAAAGCGGCTAAAGCAAAGGAGGGAACTCTCTTTCAAGAAGATACCAAGAGTTATAGACCATAAAGGGCAGACAGGTGTAGCAGTAAGAAAAGTTATAGTAAGTAATAGTATACTATAGAAGTATGCATTACAAAGTCAAAAGAAGGCCAAATTCCAACAGTAAAATAAAGAAAATATATAATTTTAACCGAGGCCAACATTTGTTTATTTAGATTACTAATCGCCTTTTAACCTAAAATAACAGATGTCACTACAGGAAATAAGCTCAACAACAGACATATTCTAACTTGTTACAGATGGCTGTATGATGGCTTTTTGACACATTCAGCAGATATGGAGCAATAATGGTCCCATCTGATGTAGGTCCTGGACAGCTTTTAGCTCCATGTTTGGTCTCCTCCGCCCCTCAATGGAAAACAGTGCTCTGTAGCAGTTAATGCTTCACATTGTTCAACAGCTAGTCGCTATCTTAGCCGTTTAAAGCTAGGCAGGTACAGTGGCGGCAAAGCCTTTCTGTTGAAAAGAGCAGACAGCTGAAGGCAAAAATGGCAATATGAACCCAATGAAACAAAAAAAAAGTTTAAAAAAGTAACTATTACAGTAGCTGAAAATTCTATAAAGCGCTAAAGAGCTTAAAAGGGAACTTAAGATCTTTCACTCAAGCTAGCATTTATATATGATATACAACAGCTGTGGCCACCAATGACACCAACAGGATAATTGATACTTGAACAATGGCACAAGTATATAGGCCTACACAGCAATATTTAGTTTGAGTACTGCTAGCTAACATATGCTAACTGGTCATGACCGGCCAAAATAAGACTGTAGCAGGAACTCCCCTTTGTGTGTTGAATTGAGCAAGGGTGCAATCTCATGTTGATTTAATGAGTGACAAAATAATAACATATTAAAGTATCTTGAGAGCTTTCTGGGGCTTTGTTTAATCCAAATAGCAGCCGGGACACAACCCATCACTAGCCATAACACAACCACAGACCCACAATTCTAGACACTTCCCATCTCAGCAGCAGCATCTGTCTGTCCTCGCTGTATTTCCTCCCCAGCTCAGCTGAATAATGAATAACTGGAACATGTCCTCAATCTGTCTCTCGGCATCACTTTAACGGATCATTAGTTTTACTTTCCACCGATTGATCACTATCTAAACTTTTTGTTTTCCCTTCTCTCTTGCAGATCTTTCTCAGTTCCACATTGGTAAAGACACATTCTGTCATCTCACAGCTGCAGAGGCCTTTCAATTTCCTCACACAGCTCAGCTGCTGCTTCCTGCAAGAGAACTCAAAGTAATGAGGCGCCTATTGAAGCCAAATCAGTGAATATATCACAGGCCTGATCTCTGAAACAGTGCGGAACGTGCAGTCCCTTAGATAGATGGGAGAGGACTGAGATGTAGCGAGAACCTGGAATAATTAAAAGGCTTTTTTGCAAACTGTCAAATCGTCCCTCCTTATAGAACTGTATTAGTGAAAGTGAGCTGAGGAAGACTGCAGCTGTTCTGACAGCAGGACCTTGGAACAAGCAGTTTCTCCCTCAGAAAATAGGAAATGTTCACACCCAGTCTGCTGCATTTTTACAAGTCGCCAAAGATTTGGATTTGGCATTGGTGTCAGACAGCAGCTAGATAGATAGACGGAGAAAGAAAGAGAAACTAGAGGCAGCCAAACAGAGAGCTCTCTGGATACAGATATCGACCGTTCACACAAACACCTGCTTAACATTTCAGCCCATCAAAAAGAAATGGCAGAGCACGTTTCTGAACGCTGTTCATCAGCTCAAGGCAGCGCCGTCTTTTCGGAGCGCAGATAAAAAGAAGAATGAATGAGGAGGGGGAATATTCGACTGAAGTCAGCACATGATAGTTTCATAAATCAGCTGGCTGGAAATAAAAAGAGTTGAGGGAATAAATGAGATGTGGGGGCGATGAATAATGTATGGGCCAGAGGGATGGTTAGAGGCAGAGTCGCGGAACGCTGATGTTCTTCTTCTTAGTGTTAACTTTGAATGCATTTGAGTTGTTCTCTACTTTACAACATGCTTAGAGGATTCTGATCTTAGCAGTGGTGGAAAGTATACAAGTACTGAACACATGTGAGGTACTTGTACTTGATCATTATAGAGACCCGTGAAACACAAGAACATATACAAATCACACTGAAGGCATTCGTTGTTTAATCCTCTGACATAATTGCAATTAATTTCAATATGATAAACCTTTACTAAAAATAAATGCAGAAATATATATCTACTGCTTTTCATTTGACTCATGTTGAATATGTTGGGGCTTGTTGGACCAACAAACACTGTGAAGGTGTTACTTTGGGGTATTGGTTGACGGCAGCGCTAATTTGTGACATTTTACAGATGGATAAATTGAGAAAATGATTGTTAGATGAATCCATAGAAGAAATTAAGTTGAAATCCTATTTGGTTTAAAAATGTTGCTTCATATCAAACAACAACAAATTCAATCTAATAATCCAATGATAAAACATAAAGTATAACAATATAACCCTCAGAGTATTTTTCAGTATACTTTTATTACTTGCGTTTTCAAGACAATCCTTTTGCTAGTATTGTAATATTTGTACAGTATGGTACATGCTACTGACTAGATAACTTGGTGTATTTGGATCTAAAAGCGATATTATCCAAAACAACTTCACTGCTGCCTGCACTAGATTCAGACATGAATTAGCACTACCTGTTAAGAGAGACATTGGTACAAAAATATCAAAACAAAGCAAACCAAATGGCAAAGAAGGAGGTTTTGCTGGCTGTTATCTTACTGCGTTAATGTGTGTGTGTGTGTGTGTGTGTGTGTGTGTGTGTGTGTGTGTGTGTGTGTGTGTGTGTTTTCACATTAAAGCACACATGCTTACTCCTGCATCCGGGAGTCTCTGGGGTGGGGAGATGCTGTGCAGTGAATTCCTTAATGCTGTGATTCAACCTCATACTAGGAATCAGCATCACTGGATGTAAAGGATTCAGGCACGGATGGGTTAGGGTCGACCCACATTTTCATCTTGGAGAATATGTAGGCTAACATACTGGAATTACTATTTTTCACACACACCAAACTAATGCAAGTTATGTGTTAAATGAGACTAATAAGGACTTTTAAACCTACACTTGAAGTGAACACATATTGAAACAACTGGGAAATAAGACAACATGGTACTTGTTTCATACAACACGGGATTGGAAGACATGTCACATGCAGGCTGGAGTTTTTTGGGAAGGGGTCTTAAAGAGACAGGCACTAAAACAGAGTGTTTCAGAACAAGACTGACTACAAGTATAATTAAATAGACAGTATGAAGAAAATACAAATGTTTTCTGACCATTAAAACATGTAAAGATGTTTCAGTAAAACCCCAAATACAAGTATGAACCCGAAAAATTAGGATGATATGTCCCCTTTAAACATAAAGGTCAGTTTACTGTTAATTGGGATATCTTCTCAAAAAGAGTGTGACCATTGTTTTTTTTGACATGGAGTCTACATTTCAGACGTTCATTTTAAAATAAGTGATCAATTACGAGTCAAGGGGCGTTGCATCTTGGGAAATGCAGGATTTAAGTGTGATTTGCTCAGCGTCTGCTGCACCGATTGCCTTTTTGTTCTTATCTCTTCTTAAGCCCCCAGCCTAAAGGAAATGCATTACTAAAGTATTAGAGTGCCCCTTTAATGTGAAACACAAATAAGGGATATTTGTGTTATCCAGAAAAATTAATGTTTTCAATGCTGACAACCCAGAAGATCTCACACACACACACACACACACACACACACACACACACACACACACACACACACACACACACACACACACACACCCACACACACACACACACACACACACACACACACACACACACACACACACACACACACACACACACACACACGACTGTCTGCCACATTAATTAGTGAAAGTACTGACGCTGCGCGGAGCTGTCCACATACCGCGGTGCTGAAACACACCGTTGCCGCAATACAACTCTAATCTATGAAAAAGAAAGTGTGCACGTGTCAAACATAGCTGAAGGATCACAATACATCATAAACACCTAAACGGACATAACTCAATCAGCAAAAAGCATGAGAATGCAACATTGAGAGTTACAGAGGGAGTTATGCAGGTGAAGTGATACCCCTCCTAGAATCGAGCTATGGCAGCATGACAAAGCTTAACGCAACATGATCATAGCAAAACCACACACAAAACCGGCAAACCTGCATACCAGCTGCCCTTAAAAATCATGCCGGTGTTTCCCAGAATATAGTTAGGCCGTGCATTAGCTGCAGCCCCGATCGTTACTTACACATAAGCGTGGTAGATGAACGCCCATCCCCGCGGTCTCTCCAGCGCATTGTAGAGGAAACTCTGTAGTTTCCGATAGCTGGCATTTTTCTTCGATGGTCGGGGTCTCCCGGCGGAGATGCTGGACCTCGGTCTGCAGAGGATGCTGTTCCGCTTGGTGCTGTCCGAGCCCGCAATGAGCAGCGCCCCGTCCCTGCTGGATTCAGGAGCCCCGGGGTCCAATCCAACAAAACCGACTTTGTGCTTCTTCTCCCCGGCTTGAGTTGGGTAAACCCCGCCGTTGAGAGATTTCTTCACCATCCTAAAGTCGGCTCTAACGAAGAGTTGTCCGTGCCGCGAGGATGCATCCCCGGTGCTGAGGGGTGTGTGTGCTGGTCCTGAATGCAGTCAGTGTCGGTGCCCCCTAGAAAACCAATTGCAATAAGCATGCGAAACTGCACACTGTATGCTTTTCACGTTAGCCCCTTCCGGCCATTTGACAGACACAGCAAGGAGGCACATTATCTGCAGTCTTATCATGTTGGCCATCAGAAATATATCTGCAATCTAATGGCACAGGAACACTGCAAAGTTCAATTGAACATGCATCCAGCTGTCTTCTAATGCAATAACAGCTGGTCTGGTGTGTCACTTTGCAAGTTATTGATTAGACGAAGATCTTCCCTGTGGTTTCACCGCATTTTCAAAAGATATGCCCCAAGATACCCTTCCATCCTCTCAGGGAGAAGCTGCAGGGAAGAAGATGCATGATAATGCAATATTCATGTGTTGGCTCTCATAAACTTCAAGCTTTGTTTTTGTAATGTTTGACTCCTCTGATTGAGCAATGTTGAAATACACATACAGTATGCCAAAATCTAAAGGCATCTGTCAACATGCAGTTAAGATGTAAAAAAAGAAAGGCTAATAAAGAATCCCTTAGCTGGGCATTAAAAGGCAACATAATGTACATTAATTAAGGGATTAGGACTGAATAATGTAAATGCATAAGAGTAGAAGTAAATTCAGTTTCCCCATGATAAACACCCAGACAGGAAAAGATCAGAGTTATGGAGTTTCAAAAGAAAACGACTTCAATCAAAGGCTATAGAGACAGCCTGCTGATCAGGTGGACTTCCAAGTCATTCATATAACAGTACTGACAAACACAGTAGACCAAAGCAACAGAAACAGAAACAACTTTATAAAAAAACAGAACAATGAATTGTAAAAGAATAAAATAACTTCCTCACAAGAGGGACACCATTTGCCAACATCGTCACACTGTGAACATTTTTATTTTCTAACTTGTTAAGATTGCATTTACAATGATCATTTTAGAAAGATTCAAACAAGATTCCTTTGTACAGTTATTTTCAAGCAACATAAAAATTGCAAATAAAGTATATACAAAAACATTAGAATAATGTAAATAAAAGTGTAATCAGTGACATGATTGTTTGTCCAGCTACACATGCTGCAGCCATTAGCTAATTCAAACTGGTAAAACACGTCGAACCAGATTATGGTAATAAATGCTGCATTCTGGGATTTTTATACAATATACACTGCTCGGACTAAGAGCACATTTGATGAGGGGGAAGGAGAAATATCCGCTGAGTCTTACATGTCAACAGAGGGTTGAAATGGACAGTGGCCATGCTACTGCCGAGGGATGTGGGGAGACTATTCTCACATGCTCCGATTGCTTTTCAATAAATAAAAAGGACTAAGTGATCTGCCTAATGAGAGCAGCATGTCCAGACAGAGTCATGTCCAACCTTTTTATCAGTCAAAGAGTTGTCAGTGAGGTTACGCTCAGCAAAGAGAAACTCTTCTCAATGCAGTCATGATCACAATTACTGTATTACTCCATAAAAATAATCAAATTTCACTTATAGCATTAATCAGACATATCCTATATATTAGTATCTGACTTTGCTACAGTTTGTATGTACAACTTAAAATATTTTGTAAAATAATGTTACTGTGTTTCAGCTCTGAAACCATCCCTTTGTTGACGTCACCCACAAACTGCTTACAGTACTTTTTGCTAACACTTGAATGGACCAATCATTGTGCTTTTTGAATACCTACAGTAATACAGTAATACCTACAGTATACAACAGTTCCAAGACAATGTAAAAACCAATTTAAAAAAAAATCAAAATAATGTCTTAGTTGACAGAAGGCAATCCTTCAACTAGCACATTTTGAATTAATATATTAATAATTTAATAACCTGTTGAATCGTGTGTGCTTATGACAAGCAGCCTTGTATGGTTTGATTTAGCTTCCTTTGTCCTGATTCGGATTAGCTAGCTTCTGCTCCTCTTCCCTCCTTTTGCTCTCCCTGAATGTAACACTTCCTGACGTTATATGACGTGTCAATACATTTAAAAAACACACACACACAAGCAGTTATGTCTTGAAAAAACAAAAACAAAGGCATGCCATTGGTCCTTTAAATACTGTTCAATACGTAGGATGGAATGCTTTTAGATTATTTAATACCTGATATAGTATAAGTGAGGGATAAAAATTCTCCTTCCGGACACAATAAATAACTATCCTTCATATAGTGCCGTAATACAGTACTCACACTAAAACCTACAGTAATTGCACAGTAACCACATGCAAAGGGCTGAAGAAAGAGCAGCCCTCCCCCTCTATCATCCGTTTTTCCATCAAACCCTACTTTCATCTCTCTGTCTATTCTTTGACTTTCAACATCTATTCAGTCAGCCAACATATGTCAAATACCAGGGTACTCCACTTCTCTCGGGGTCCCAGCATTAAGCCCTGGGGAACACCAGCCAAACAGAGAAAGAGACAGGAGCTGCAGTCCAAGGCATAAGATGACAGTCAACTAAAGGTAGTTTGGTTAATCCAGTTAATACGAGTTTGATAAGGAGCTTAATCATTGGGTGATGCCTGAAGTTGGCCTCTCCTCTTAACTTGTGAATATGTTCGCACCAGATGTGTGTAGACAGACAGGCAAAGCAATAACACTTCTATCTGGTTGGCTTCCAACAGCAGTACATGACTAGTCTTGAGTTTCAGGCTGTGTCATTATCACTGTAGATGCTCTCTGGTAGCTGTCCTTAGTCATTTGTACAGTTGTGTTTTGTCTGTACTCTGCACAGAAGACTAGTGGTATCCGTGATGGAATGATCCCTGAAAATGGAGCAGTGGGGGAGGATCTCCTGGACAGAAACCGGTGAGACTTGCACTCTTTTGTTAATGTCATCTCTCGTCATATCCTTCACATTCACCCTTTCTCTGACAAGCTTGCTGAAGTGACGGTTTTCTTTAGAGGTCTCCATCTGAAGGTGGCAAACACAGCTTGAAGAGCCTGTGGAAAAAGAACAACTGGATGTGAGAAAATCCATCTTGTCTAAGACTATATTATTTTCAGATGGCATAAGAAAGATGCTAAACGAAGTTGTATACAGTACCTTGGGAATGCTGGAGTCATCTGGTCCATAACTTTGAGATTTTTAGCAGAGAGCTCAACTCTTGGCCCCTATTAAAAGAGAACACATATGCTATAAGCAAAGGTTCTAAAGAGTTTTGCAACTTCAAGCCCAGCTTTGATTGCTAAAAAACGTATTTGGACCACATTCATTCAAATTCATAAGAAAAACAAAACATGACAATAACTAAAATACTGGACCTTAAAAATATATTATGCCACTGTCAACTGTAATGATCAAAAACAAATGAACATTCCTAATTGTGCAAAAATTAACTAGCCTTGTAAATTACGACCATAAACAACAACATTTTGCAGTTCCTCCGCGGCCCACTTAAATGCTGGCTCAGCATCCAAAAATCTCTATGTAAACTATTTATATATACTATCTATTTCTAGACATATTATGTCTAGAAATATTTGCTGTAAAGCAGATGTATTATCATAAAACACATCAATTATTATTTGATACAATTGACCAAATGCATCAATGTGGTAGAATTGTTCTGGTTCAGTTAAAGAGCAGGTGAGAGAAATGTTCGACCACTATAGTAACTAACTGTGTATCAAATGCAGGCTGGGTTATGAGGTATTAATACTAAACCACTTTTGGTATATCAGTACCGTGACAATATGATTATACCTAGTTATCATTAACAAAGTTCTGTTGTTTAAATAAATATTTCTAATCTAATTGTTTTCTGTTTACTACTTTAACAAGCTCAGGTATTTAACGAAAGACGTAATAATTAATGTGAAAAAAGAAAAAGAATATTCACTCATTCATTTTGCGTTACTGAATTATGCCCAGTCCTAGTTTCTACTAAATACATTTCTAAGGTAACGAAATTATGTTAAAATAAGTAGTTTTTTCTGAAATAATTTTTAAAGAAAATTGTGCAAATAATCTGCCTTAGAGTTGTACCTGTTTGCGCATTATGTCCATGGTCTGCATGATGCAGCGCGGCATGAGACCGTGGTTCCTCGATAGTATCATTGCCTGCTCCAGTGTCACATTCAAGGTACATCTGCCACAAAAAATAAAATGTGATAGGTCAGTAAGAAAGACACTAATAGGGTTGTCAATATATGGACATTTGTATCAGCAGTAGAAATGAATTCAAAACTGTGAGTTGAAGCCTCAGTCCACTGTGCTAATCTTTATTCCAGCTGACAGTTGAGTGGTGCTTCACAATCAGTCAAATCGTGTTAGGGTGGTGCCAGGCTGACCTCTGCATGCCGGTGCCACACATGGTGATGTGGCAGGCTCCCAGGCGGTTACACAGCTCCGAGGACACGCACAGCACGCTGACACCTGACGGGTGGCCCTGGGCGCTGTGCCGCACGTTGACGTACGACTGCATGAGTCGGCACAGGTCGTCCAGCGTGTTGAGGGGTCGCAGCAGCTGTGAGGAGGAAACCAAGGTCAGATAGGGTCAGCGGTTAAATGGACAAAGTGTGGCAAAAGTGGCCATCTCACCAAGTCATTTAGAGTCTTATTGGGTGTAATTCAGTTTATTGGTATATTCAGCTCAAACTACATAGAAATTATTGATTTCCTACAGTACGTACTGTAGTTCTGAAAATGTTCTTAAGGCAAGACAGTATATTTAAAAAACACAATACTACCAAATAGTACATTAATATCCATTAAATTAGGCAGAAACTAGATTTGTATTTTTTGTATTTTGAGATCATATTACTTGTTTTTTGATAGAAAAGAGTTATGTATATATATATTTGTATTAAAATATCATTATATTTCTCAATACAAAACATGTGATTTATACAGTCAATATGTATTTTCTTTTTCTAATACTTAGTTGCAATTTGTATAGGTTTATGA